AAAGGCGATCCTCAATAAGTTGCAAAGAAGGCAACATCATGATTATTGAGGGTTTGATGATGATTTTCATATATAAAATTTCATTTATATTTACATATTAAAATTAAAATTTAATCAAATTTTGAGCAAAACCTTCTTTATAACAATGTTTTTTTGCTATTCTGAAGATCTCTATTTTTTTGCGAAGGCTATGATTATCATTAAAAACAATTAACACCATTTCCATAGATGGTGATAGAAATGCTTAATATCAAACTCAAATTTTGCAAAAGCGTATTTAGTGAATTTTAATGGAATAGGGGAGAAAAGAAGAGGCTTTTAAGCAATATGAAATAGCTATAAACATAGATTCTAAATGTTCAAATGCCTACAATAAAAAGGTGAATTAATTTAATTAATATTAGGCATTTATAAGATGACATTGATGAAAAAGAAAGAGCTTTAACTGATTTTAATCTAGCCATCTAAATTAATCTTGAATGGGCAAATCTCTACATTAACACAGGTGAATAAATTTTGCTAAGATAAGGCAATGTAATTAGTAATAAATAAAAAAGCCTTAGCTGATTATAATAAGACGATCTAAATTAATTCTAAATATGCAAATACCTATAGAGTCAGAGGTAAATTAATTTAATTAATATTAGCCATTTATTGTATATTCTGACATTGGTGATAAAGAGAAAATTGTGCTGATTATAATAAATCCATCTAAATTAATCCTGAATGCACGAATGTCTAAAAACAGAAGTGAATTATTTAAATAAATATTAGGCAATATATACAAAGAAAATGGAGAATAGAAAAAAACAATCTGATTATAATTATGCCAATTGATATTGAATATGCAATGGCCTACAATAACAGAGGTGAATTATTTTAACTAATATTAGGCTTTCTATAAAATGACAGAGGAGAAATGGAGAAAGCCTTAGCTGATTATAATCAAGTTATCTATTATGAAGTATTTAATTTATCTTCCTTTACCAGCTAAAGTAGTTCAAATATTTGTGGATAATCTGATATTTCAGACGCAAAGAATTTCCATTCTCTCTTATACACTACCAAAATTCCTCAGCTTTTGTACTTCACAACAAAATAAAATGAAAAAATGTTTAAAAAGTTCATCATTGCAAGGAGGTTACTACATTGATGAAAATTATATCAAAGAATTTTTTTAAATATCATGGGTTTTTGTTCTTAACCATATGTGAGAAGAGTATTAGACTTAATTAATGAAATAATTAAAAAGCAATATTATACCAATTCTAGATATTCAAAGCTCAATATACTCATAAATAATGTTAAAACACAAACGAAACTATGAATAATGATTGAATTTTGAATAATAATTATCAAAGATGAATTTTTTAAATAATTACGAAAGGATTAACTTATAAATCTAAATAGGTAAGAAAATTGAAGGATAATAGAATAATAGTGAAATACAGAATAACAAACTTATTTTTATCAAATAATTCTTAAATAATTGCTTAGCCTGATTTTATATTGATATTGTCAGAGATTGGGTTAAATGTGAAATTTAATGTCAATGATAAATTCGATTATTGAAGAATTCAATATCCTTCAAAATTTCATCGAGATCAATCATTTAGAATTTTGCATTAATATGAGTTGCTGAAAGAGGAATCACATTTTTTACTTAATTGAATTAAATACATAGGAATCTTCCTATGATTGCTTAGAAATTGGTTATTTAATTGGCTTAATAAATGAAGAATCACCATACTTTAATAGCAAATTAGTTAATACTTAAAAGATTTAATACTTGAAATATTAAAAACAATGAAATTATACTTTTTATAATGCTATTATTCTTCTAGTTTTTATAGATTCCATTTAGTCTTCATTTCATTATTTCGAGCTAGATTTAATTCCTTTATGAAATATTTCCCTATATTCTTAAATAATTTGAGATAATTATCTCTTTTCTGGCCACATCAGGTTTTAGTCAATTTCATTTCAGTACCAACTATATTTTAATTGGTGTAGAATTTCATTAAACTTGTTTTATTGTTAATGATCAGAATTCCTCTGTAATAACACTCTTTAAATTATATTATATAGTAGAAATAAAGTAATTTATATTAAAACCATAGAATGCTCTCCTAGATTTTTTTAATTTAAAATAACAATAATAAATTATTAAATACAAATTCTTAACCATTTTTTATGCAAAAATGAAATATCAATTTTTTATTAATTTGCAAAAAACTATATAAAATTTATGGAAAATATACCTAATCAATTGCATTTTTAGTTTAATTAGTGTTTATATAATATGCGATCAATTATATTAATTAAATGAATTTCTCTATTAGTTACATTCTCATTATTCAAACTTTTATTCTTACCTTTTTCATTATTATTAGTAATTAAACAATAATTAATTAACATGATAGGTCAATTTGATTTGAATTTTAATGGGCTTTATTAAATGAGGAAAATCAATAAGCCATACAAACAAAAAATAAAATCAAGGATTCAAAGTTAAGATAAATAAAAAAAAAATTATTAATAATAAGCATTGAAATAAGACTGTTCCTCCTTTGATTCTGGCCAATTTAATTTTCGATAAAAAAAAGTTTAGTTTTAATTATTAATAATATATATTCCAAAAACTAATATCCAGAATCACAGAAAATAATTAATCACAACTACAATTTCTCATCTTCTTACTTTTTTAAAATAATTTATATCTTTAGGATATTTTAAATCAATGTTTACATTAATTTAACCTAATTTATCCTAATCCTGCGAATGAATTTACTAAGTTTCTATTAAGAGAATCTAAAATTGTTTATTAATATTTACTTTCTTAAAAATTAAATTAGCCATAAATTGAAGTTCAATATTTCATAAATGAATTTATCGAACTTAAATGGAATATTCAAAGGTTTCATATGCAATTCATTAAGCTATCTTATTTAAATTAAAGTTGAAAAAATGATTATTGCTCAAATCGAAATATATTAAAAATTGATTCCATATATTAGCAGGAATCTCAACAAAACAAATAAATATACTTCTTTATATTAAAATTGCTTCCTTAAAATTGTAGAGATACAACATGATGATTTTAAGTAATTACTCCTTTTATCTATTAACTATTTAAATATTCGGTATCTTTGATATCATCTAATTGTGAGTATTTATTTAAAAGAATATTTTGAGATCTCGTCATTGTGATAATCATATATTGGTGTAAAAGAGATATTTAATAATTATTAATCCAGATTCTAAATCTCAGTCTATTTTTGTTGAAATGAATGGGAATGAATAAGAAGTTAATGATATTATAGGTTTGATTTTTTATGAGGTTTAACAAAGAATTATTAAATTTTTATGAATGCCAATCATTATCAAGTGGTTGGCTGGCATCGTCGAGATGAAAATAGGAAATTCAAGATTACATATAAGAAGAAAGAAATATTTAGAAGTTGTGGGGCACAGGAGTTTTAAAACATTGAGACTAATTTGTTTAGGTTTTTTTAAAAAAATAATGAAGTAAAAATATTTGTGAATATAATGTGTAGAAATAAGGATTATCCATGTATGTTTAGGTGAATTTCAAAATATCCTTGTGAAAACATAAATATTATTTATTTACTTTTTAACTCTAATATTTATATATTGTTTAATATAATTAATATTATTTATTTATGAATGCTTTGAGATTCTCAGTGATCATAGTGCTTTTCATTCGATTCTATTTTTTTATCCTTATATTAATAAACGCTTAAAACACTATTTAGTAATTTGTTTATTACATTTACAGATTTATCTAAATAATATATATCTATTCATAACTAAAAATCAGAATATGCTTAATCAAAAAACAGAACTTTCATGAAACTTTTCAATAAAATAGTCTTTCAGAAAATAGTAATTTAGAATTTAATGAATCTTCATATTAACTTATCCTTTGGATTTGTAAGTGTTTAACATTAACTAATTAATTTATTTTCACATAAATCAAATTTAATAGTGGTTTCTATTGATGCCACTAAATATAAATTTATTTTTATCTTCTTAGCACTTCCTTCATTTATCGTACTAAAAATGATATAAAAACTAATTTGAGTCATTTAAAAAAATTCAAGAGAGAGATAACTTATTGATTAAAAATATATACAATGTCATAAATTCATTAAGTTATTTTACTAGTTGCTAACAATTAGTGATGATAAGTAAAATTTTGTCTTTTTTCAAACCTAATTATTTTAATAATTTTTCTAAAATTCACATCTTTTTTTGATTTGTAATCTTTTACTATAAAACTTTAATTATAAAATTGAAATAAAATTATGAATAATCCTCTTCATTATAATTATAAATTTTAATATTTTATTAGATCTTCTAAATCATCTAATAACTTAATCTGAATTTTCATTCTAGCAATATCACTTATACTTACAATCAACTTTGGTTGATTACTTAATCAACATATTTATAAACTTATTAATACCCACTTAATCTATATTCTTATATTGTTATCATCTTAAATCAGAATCTATTTATGAATCCTATTAATAATTAATCTCATTTCTTTATATTTAAACAGAGTTATTATTCATATGAAGCATATTTATTCTGCTCTAATTTTATGATTGTTTGTTAAACAATAATATATTGAGCAATAATATTAAGTAACAACTAATTGAGGTACATAGATTTAAGGTATAATATTTTGAATAGTTTTTTGTATTGATTTGTAATGTTAGAGTTGTTTTATAATGATCATCAATTTAAAAGTTTAGAGAAAGAAAAAAACTATGAAAAATAAGCTGTGGCCTATTAAATAAGAGAGTTAAATGAAAATAATTTATTCCCGATGATTAATTTTCGAAACTGAATTTAGGATAGAAGTCAGAAGATGATACCAAATACTATTTGGTTAGATCGAATAAGTATCTAAGGAATGAAGAAGGGATGAAATTAATTCAATTCTTTGTAACAACCAAATATTTCAATCTTTCAAAGGATACTATTGTTTTTTCTTTATTGCTAAAACTATGACCATCTAATTTTGCTTTTTATTATCCAGTTTTTAAATCCCATAAACGGATTGACTTATCATCACTACCAGAAGCTAAAGTAGTTCCATCAGGGAGAAGCATACTGATAGAACTTAATTACTATGTTAGATTTGTTGATTTAACATAAATAGCAATTTATTTATAATTTTTACAATGTGTTCCCTTTTTCATCACATTAAGATTTTTTGGATTCATAGATAAAACTTAATATAAAAGTAATAGAAATTAAATAATATTTAAAAAATAAAGAATGGAAAAGAAAGAAGATTTGTATGAAGTGTTAGCTTCATCAAAAGATTTGGACCAATAAATATACAAGGTGGTAATTGAAATGTTGAGAAAAGAAAACGTTTCAGACTGTTTAAAATATCTTTCTGATGATGAAAATCTCTCAAGTTGTTTAAATTCCATTTTAAAAGTAACAATTAAAACAAGTGTGGATTAAGAAGATCTAGTGAAAAAGAAAATGAAGATAATGATGGAAATTTTGAAATAATTAAAAGATCTTGACTTTAATAATAAAAATTATTGTGATGATCTCTATGAAGAATTTAGAAAAGATCTAATACAAAAAATATCAAAAGACGATTAAATAGCTTAATTTTTACAATTTTTAGTTTAACTAACAACCTTTGATGAAACATTTATTTAAGCTGGATCAAATGGACTTAATTTATTAGTAGGTCTGAAAGTTGATTTGAAGAACCATTGCTTTTAAAACATTCGGATTA